AGAAAGGTGCAATTTAGAAAGAAAAAAAAAAAAAAAATAAATGAACACCTAACCAGCACCATACAGAAGCCTTTAAGACGGAGGCCTCAGCGACGCAGTTCCCGTTTCCCTTTTGTTTCTCGATACTAAAATATTGATTTCTAAATAGAGAAGATGCTGCTTTTTGATTGATTCTTGAGAATTAGACTTAGTGTTAGCTGGTGCAAAGAAACTATAAAGAATTTTCATGTATAGTATGTGCGGGTATTCAGGGTTCTGCTGCTGACTGCTATTTGGGCCAGAGTCATTCGTCCAGTAATATCAACGATCAGTTATATTATATTAGCTGCCAGCATATACGGCTGTGCCCGTTGCTGCGCCTTTACATTGGCGTGAGTATCTTGTATTCTCTGATTCATCAACATAGAAACATACTCTGTTTTCTCAACAGAAGCAAACGTCTGACTGACTTGGTTTCTGTGTTTTCTTCTGCAGGCCGTATCTGCCTGATGAAGCAGCGGTTTCTGTTGTACGTGTACTGGTTGCTGTTGACGGGGCCCTTATGTATCTCTGGAGCTCTCTGGGGGCAGTCACAACGTGGCTGCTGTGGGCGGTGGATGGGGTCCTCAGCTCGCTTGTATGGCCTTCACTAGAAGATATAAAGAGCGCCGTCACCCACCCCAATCACCGCTCTCTATTGAACGATCTCCTCGTAAAAGTGAAGGAAATGGCGCATCATCTGCCTGATGCTGTTCCGCACTCTGAGTTCTAAACAAGAGCCTTTGTGCAAGAAGGAAACAACGCAAATAAACACAAAAAAAAATACTACAAATATACTAATACTCAGCTTCTGAGCTCACTCTGTATACTCTGTATAGTCTAGAACAGAAACTACAGCGTCTCAGGAACATATTTCTNCTTCTGAGCTCACTCTGTATACTCTGTATAGTCTAGAACAGAAACTACAGCGTCTCAGGAACATATTTCTCTCCTAGTTTATATTTTTCTGCTGCAACAACCAAACAGCAGAAAGGCAATCATTGCCGCTGCCGAGCAGTTGCTTGGTGAGCCGTTTCTTTGTCAATTCAGAAAAAAGAATAAACCAACTAAAATAAATAAATAAAAAGTATAATACTTTTCGTCTGCAATTGGCTATTGAATAATAAAATACTTAATATTTATTTTCTTTTTTATTAGTATTTATATTATATTTAAATATAAAAATAGTTTTATACAAACAGCTGTAAACCGCCGAGCCAAGCACCAGTGGCGCAATGGATAGCGCGTAGCCCTCCTAAGGCTAAGGTTGTGGGTTCGAGTCCCATCTGGTGTGCTTTTTCTGCAAATTTTGCAGTAAATAAACAAAATAAATGTTTTTTTTTTAGTTATTTTAAAAAAAAAAAAAACAAAACAAACCCAAAATTTATAAAAAAAAAGAAATTTCTGTCTCAGCACAAGCACAGAAGTCACCCTGCTCAAGCACCAGTGGCGCAATGGATAGCGCGTAGCCCTCCTAAGGCTAAGGTTGTGGGTTCGAGTCCCATCTGGTGTGCTTTTTTTCTTTTTTTTTTTTAAATAAATGTTTATATATTTTCTTTATGTATTTTGATTTATTTTATGAATTATTATATTCTTTTTCTCCACTTATTCTAAACTCTTTCTGCTGTTTAGTTGCGCGTTTCTGGCGTTCCGCTTGAAGTGTATATTTTGTTTACCCATGGGCAGTGTGAATATGCAAGACGAATGCAGTCCTTTTGTTGTTTTTTTTTCAGTTTTATATGTTTAATATCTATATTTTAATTTTAATATTATTTATTTATACATTTATTAATTCGATAAAGGTTTCTGGCTGCCGCCAGGGGGCCCAAGGGCCCCCCTTCTCCCTATGCTGCATGCAAGTAAGCAGATATTACCTTTACCTTTGATCTTCTTCTCTGTGTTACTACTAAACCCTTTTTATATTATTTTATTTTTTTTTTTAAAAAGAAATATATTTGTTTATTTGAATTGTATTTCTGTCTGTGGCGTTGAAACTCGTACTACATAACCTTGACGTTTCGGTTTGTGTGTATAAACAGGGCGAATGAGGCATCAATTTGCATCTTTTTTTTTCTTTTTTTTATATTTTTTGTAATATATAAACATAAAAAAACATATAAAGAGCCACAATGCCACCTGTGCGCCTCAAGGCCCCTCAACAGGTGAGGATTCGCTGCCCAA